ATAATAATAATAATAATAATAATAATCAAGGTGGTCAATTGTAACATTCAAGGTATACGGTAGACTCCTGCAAAGGTGAGAGGATCCCTCTTGTCCTTTCCTGAATGGAGCATCTCTTGGATTTTCTTGGTGGGTCTGTAGATAGTTTGTAGGTTGTGTTTCTTCATCAGCTTCCCTATGAGGTCAATATATTCCTTGATGTATGGTAAGAACACTCTTCCTCTGGGTGGATCATTGTCTTTACGAGAGTTGGTTGAATTCTCCGGCAGGAAGCAGCCAGGCTTTGAAGCTGCAAGGCCATTCAGTGCTAATCAAGCTGGCCAATTGCAACATTGACACTTGCCTCAAATGGACAAGAGTGCTTTCACACTGGACATGCCACAGATATATAAACCTCACTCGCCTAGTTTCCAAGAGATCTCCCAGCCTCTGAGGATGCTTGACATAGATGTGGGTGAAATGTCAGGAGAGAATGCTGCTGGGACATAATCAGCAAGCCAGTGATTCCGGCCTTCGGCAACACAACAAACTGGTCTCCAAAGAGGCCTCCTCTCTCCAGAGGAAACAAATAAACAAGTAAACAAACAACAACAAACAATGGAGGAGGATCCTGTAATTCACCCATCACTTTGAGGAGATGGGTCATTGAGGAGGATTAGCATACCTTACCCATCTCCTACAATAAGGTCCAGGGTGGGAGAAAGAACTCTTGCCCGCTGGAGGCAAGTGGGACTCTCCAGTTGCTCTTGTTTACTCCTTGCTCTTGAATTGACTCTCTTTCATCCTCTCTCTCTGTCTTCCCATTCCCACCCCCCTGCACCTTTTTTCCCTTCCTTTTCTTCACTAAAGTGGAGATGGAGAAGAAAGGAAAAGGGGAGTGTGAGAGAGAAAGAGGTGGGGAAAAGAAGGGGGTTGTGGCTTATGCTATAAAGGAGAGGAAAGAGAAATTAAATGGATTAGAGAGCATTCTTGGGTAGAGGAGGAAGGAAGGAGAGCCTCCTGCATCCATCCAGTCGCTTCTTCTTGTTGTTGTCCGAAAGTCAGAGACCAAGAGAGAGAGAGAGAGAGAGAGAGAAGGAAAAGGAGAAAGGGAAGGGAAAGAAGAGGGGAAAAGAAGAAGAGAAGGAAAAGGAGGGAGAGAGAAGTAAAGGAAGAGGGAGAAGGAAAAGAAGAGGGAGAGAGAAGTAAAGGAAGAGGGAGAAGGAAAAGAAGAGGGAGAGAGAAGGAAAGGAAGAGGGAGAAGGAAAAGAAGAGGGAGAGAGAAGGAAAGGAAGAGGGAGAAGGAAAAGAAGAGGGAGAGAGAAGTAAAGGAAGAGGGAGAAGGAAAAGAAGAGGGAGAGAGAAGTAAAGGAAGAGGGAGAAGGAAAAGAAGAGGGAGAGAGAAGGAAAGGAAGAGGGAGAAGGAAAAGAAGAGGGAGAGAGAAGTAAAGGAAGAGGGAGAAGGAAAAGAAGAGGGAGAGAGAAGGAAAGGAAGAGGGAGAAGGAAAAGAAGAGGGAGAGAGAAGGAAAGGAAGAGGGAGAAGGAAAAGAAGAGGGAGAGAGAAGGAAAGGAAGAGGGAGAAGGAAAAGAAGAGGGAGAGAGAAGAGAAAGGAAGAGGGAGAAGGAAAAGAAGAGGGAGAGAGAAGGAAAGGAAGAGGGAGAAGGAAAAGAAGAGGGAGAGAGAAGTAAAGGAAGAGGGAGAAGGAAAAGAAGAGGGAGAGAGAAGGAAAGGAAGAGGGAGAAGGAAAAGAAGAGGGAGAGAGAAGGAAAGGAAGAGGGAGAAGGAAAAGAAGAGGGAGAGAGAAGGAAAGGAAGAGGGAGAAGGAAAAGAAGAGGGAGAGAGAAGTAAAGGAAGAGGGAGAAGGAAAAGAAGAGGGAGAGAGAAGGAAAGGAAGAGGGAGAAGGAAAAGAAGAGGGAGAGAGAAGGAAAGGAAGAGGGAGAAGGAAAAGAAGAGGGAGAGAGAAGGAAAGGAAGAGGGAGAAGGAAAAGAAGAGGGAGAGAGAAGAAAAGGGAGAGGGAGAAGGAAAAGAAGAGGGAGAGAGAAGTAAAGGAAGAGGGAGAAGAAAAGAAGAGGGAGAGAGAAGTAAAGAAAGCGGAGAAGGAAAAGAAGGGGAATGGATTATTATTACTAGAGCATCCTTGGGCAAAAGCAGCTTGGAGTCGTAGAGTCAGAGGAGTCACTTCTTCTAGTCCTTCTTTCCAAAAGTCAGGTGTCTCTTTTTCCAGAAGGAAAGAAAGAGGAGGAAAGGACAGGAGAGAGGGAGAGAGGAAGGGCAAAGAGAGGGAGGAGAGCGAGAGGAGAGAGAGGTTGGAAAAAGAAAAAAGAGGGTTGTTGTGAGAGAGAGGAGAAGAGGAGAGAGAGGAGAGAGGAGACAGATAGGAGAGAGAGACAGAGATAAAGAAAGAGGAGAGAGAAAGATTGGGAGAACGAATAAAAGGTTGTTTTGAGAGAGAGGATAGGGAGAGTACAAAGAGAGAGGAGAGAGGGGGAAAGGACAGAGAGAGAAAGAGAATGAGAAGAGAGAGGAGGAGAGAGAGATAAAGAGGAGAGAGAGAGGAGAGAGAGGAGAGAAAGGTTGGGAGAAAGAAAAAAATAGGATTGTTGTAAGAGAGGAAAGAGAAAGAGGAGAGAGAGAAAGAGGAGAGAAGAGAGAGGGTGAGAGATAGGAGAGAGAGAGAGAAAGAGGAGAGAGAGGTTGGGAGAAAGAAAAAAGAGGGTTGTGTGACAGAAGGAGAGAGTAAGAGAGGAGAGAGAGAAAGAGGAGAGAAGGGCAGAGGAGAGAGAGGGTGGAAGAAAGAAAAAAGAGGGTTGTTGTGAGAGAGAAAGAGAAAGAGGAGCAAGAGAAAGAGGAGAGAAGGAGAAGTGAGAGGGGGAGAGAGACAGGAGAGAGAGATAAAGAGGAGAGAGAGGTTGGGAGAAAAAATAAAGAGGGTTGTTGTGAGAGAGGAAAGAGAAAGAGGAGAGAGGGAAAGAGGAGAGAGAGGGGAAGAGAGAGAGGAGAGAGAGAGATAGAGAAAGAAGAGAGAGAGGTTGGGAGAAAGCAAAAAGAGGGTATGTGTGTGAGAGAAAGAGAGAGAGAGAGAGGAGAGAGAGGGGGGTAGAGGAGAGAGAGAGAAAGAGGAGAGGAGAAAAGGGGGAATGTGTGAGAGAGCGAGAGAGAGAGAGAGCGAAAGAGAGAGACAGGAGAGAGGTTGGGGAAAGAATAAAAGGGTTGTTAGAGAGAGAGAGAAAGAGGAGAGAGAGGGGAGAGGAGAGAGAGAGAGAAAGAAGAGAGAGGAGGGAGAGGAGAAAGAGAGACAGAGAAAGAAGAGAGAGGTTGGGAGAAATAAAAAGGGGTTTTTGAGAGAGAGAGGAGAAAGAGAGAGAGGAGAGAGAGAGGAGGAGACAGAGAGAAAGAGAGAGAAAGGAGAGAGAGAGGAGAGAGGTTAGGGGAAATAATAAAAAGGGTTGTTTTGTGTAAGAGAGGAGAGACTGAGAGGGGGAGAGAGAGAGGAGAGAGAGAGAGAAAGAAAGAGGAGAGAGAGGAGAGACAGAGGGGAGAGAGAGTGGAAAGACAGATAAAGAAAGAGGAGAGAGAGAGGTTGGGAAAAAGAAAAAAAGGGTTGTTGTGAGAAAGGAGAGAGAGAGGAGAGAGGTTAGGGGAAAGAATAAAAAGGGTTGTTTTGTGCGAGAGAGGAGAGATTGTGAGAGGGGAGAAGAGAGAGAGAGGAGAGAGAGAGAGAGGAAAGACAGAGATAGAGAAAGAGAAAGAGGAGAGAGAGGTTGGGAGAAAGAAAAAAGAGGGTTGTGAGAAAGGAGAGAGAGAGAGAGGAGAGAGAGAGGAGAGAGGTTGGGGGAAAGAATAAAAAGGGTTGTGTGTGAGAGAGGAGAGAAAGAGGAGAGGGAGGAGAGACAGTGACAGAGAAAGAGAAAGAGAAGAGAGAGAGAGAGGAGAGAGAGAGGAGAGAGGTTGGGGGAAAGAATAAAAAGGGTTGTTTTGTGTGAGAGAGGAGAGATTGAGAGAGGGGAGAAGAGAGAGAGAGAGAGAGGAAAGACAGTGACAGAGAAAGAGAAAGAGGAGAGAGAGGTTGGGAAAAAGAAAAAAGAGGGTTGTTTTGAGAAAGGAGAGAGAGGAGAGAGAGAGAGAGAGAGAAAAGAGGGTTGTTAGAGAGAGAGAAGGAGGGAAGGAGGTTGGGAGAGAGAAGGAAGGGTCTTGCTGTGCCATCCAGGAGAGCAAATGGATTAGAGCATCCTTGGGCAAAAGGGGAAGGAAGAAAGGAAGGGAGGAAGGGAGGAAGGAAGGAAGAGTGCCTCCTCTTCTTCTCCTCCTCCTGCGAAAGTCGAGAGAAGGAGAGAAGAGGAAGGAAGGAAGGAAAGAGGAGGGAAGGAGGAGACAGGGAGGGAGAGGGAGTGAGGAAGGAAGGCAAAGGAGGGAAAAGCGGGCAGGAGCGGGGAAGGCGCGGGTGCTCCGAGAGCGGGTTGTTGACCAGGAGCGAGCCGAGGTCCGGGACGCCTCCGCCGGCCGCCTCCTCCTCCTTCTCCGCGTGGACCCCATCCTGGCCGCGCGGAGGCCATGCCTTTCGGGACCCTGCCTCTGCTGCTCCTGCTGCTGCTCCTCTCGCTGGCGCTGCTCCTGCGGGCGGCCCCCGAATGCGGGCTGGAGGAGCGCTCGCGCCGGCTGAGGAGGGACGCCCGGCCCGGGACCCCCTTCGCCGCCTTCCCTTCCTCCTCCGGCGGCGGCGGCGGCACCTGCGGGACGCGCTTAGCCCGCGGAAGGCGCGCCTGGGCGGGGAGGGAAGCGGCGGCGCCGCGGAGGAGGAGGCGGAGGAGGAGGGAGACCGCGCCGGGGAGACCGCCGCCGCCGCCGCCCTTGCCCCTGCCCCTCCAAGCCAGCCCTCCGAGCCGGGCTTTCTATTTCCGCGGACGCCCCGGCGAGGCGCTCAAGCTGAAGGCGGAGCTGGAGCTGCCCCGAGAGGAGTTCACGCTGGGAGCCTGGCTCCGGCCCGAAGGAGGGCAGAAGGCGCCCGCCGTGGTGGCAGGTAAGCGGCCGCGAGGGGCAGCGGGCCGGGCGCGGAGGGGGACCGTACCTCACTCCCTCGCAGTCTAGGGGACTTCACAGAGTTGATTACCCCCCTCTCTCTTACTCTTCTTTTTTTCACCTTATTTTTCCTCTTTCTGTTCTTCCCCCTCCTTCTCTTCCTCCTATTCTACTCCTTCTTTTCCACTCCTCCTCCTCTCCCCTTTTCTTCCTCTTTCTTTGGTTCTCCTTTCCACCTCCTCCTTGTATTGTTGTTGTTGTTGGAGTTAGAGTTGTAATTTGCACTAATGTGCAGAGAAGGCAAAAGACCCCTCTTTCTTCTTCCATTCCTCTCATCCTCCCTTTCATCTTCCCTCTTTCCTCCTTCCTTCCCTTCCACTCTTTTCTTTCTTCCTTTCCTCTTGTCTTGCCTTCCTTTTCCCTTGCCTTCCTCCTTACCTTCCTCCCTCTCTTACCTCCCTCTTTTTCCTTCCATTCTTTCCTTCCTCCCTTTCATCCTTCCTTCCTTCCTTCTTTGCTCCCTAGTTGGGGGCCCCCCCCCCCCCCGCCCCAGTGGGCATCCAGTCCCATCCCTCGCCTTCAGGAGACTTGACCTGACTCCCTAGAGTTGGGAGGACCCCCTCAGTGGGCATCCAGTTAAACCTCTCACCCGAAGGAGACTTGACCCAACTCCCAAGCAGTCTGGATGACTCCCTAGAGTTGGGAGGAACCCCCAGAGGGCATCCAGTCCTACCCCTCGCCTGAAAGAGATTTGATCTGACTCTCAAGTAGTCTAGATGACTCTATAGGGTTGGAAGGGACCTCCAGAGGGCATCCAGTCCCACCCCTCGCATGAAGGAGGCTTGACCCGGCTCCCAAGCAGTCTGGATGACTCTATAGAGTGGAAAAGGACCCCCAGAAGGAGTCCTGACCTGACTCCCAGGCATCTGGATGACTCCCTAGAATTGGGAGGACCCACCAGTGGGCATCCAGTTCAACCTCTCACCGAAGGAGACTTGACCTGACTCTCAAGTAGTCTAGATGATTCTGGAGGGTTGGAAGGGACCTCCAGAGGGCATCCAGTCCAACCCTTCACCTGAAAGAGATTTGACCTGACTCTCAAGTAGTTTAGATGACTCTCTAGAGTTTGGAGGGACCCCCAGTGGGCATCCAGTTCAACTTCTCACCCGAAGGAGACTTGACCTGAGGGCATCCAGTCCCACCTCTCTCCTGAAGGAGGCTTGACCCGACTCCCAAGCAGTCTGGATGACTCCCTAGAGTTGGGAGKACCCCCCAGTGGGCATTCAGTTCAASCTTTCACCCAAAGGAGACTTGWCCTGACTCTCAAGTAGTCTAGATGRCTCTGTAGGGTTTGGAGGGACCTCCAGAGGGCATCCAGTCCAACTCCTCACCCAAAGGAGACTTGACCTGACTCTCAAGTAGTCTAGATGACTCTGTAGGGTTGGCAGGGACCTCCAGAGGGCATCCAGCCCAACCCTCCGCCTGAAAGAGATTTGACTTGACTCTCAAGTAGTCTAGATMACCCCMAGAGGGCATCCAGTCCAAACCTTCTTCTGAAGAAGACTAGACCTGACTCTCAAGCAGTCAAGATGACTCTCTAGAGTTTGGAGGGACCTCCAGAGGGCATCCAGTCCAACCTCTCACCCAAAGGAGGCTTGACCCGACTCCCAAGCAGTCTAGATGACTCTGTAGGGTTGGAAGGGACCTCCAGAGGGCATCCAGCCCAACCTCTCTCCTGAAGGAGACTTGACCTGACTCTCAAGTAGTCAAGATGACTMYATAGAGTTGGAAGGGACCTCCAGAGGGCATCCAGTCCCACCTGAAGGAGGCTTGACCTGACTCCCAAGCAGTCTAGATGACTCTCTATTAGGAGGGACCTCCAGAGGGCATCCAGTCCCACCACTCGCATGAAGGAGACTAGATCTGACTCTCAAGCAGTCGAGATTACTCTCTAGAGTTGGGAGGGACACCCAGAGGGCATCCAGTCCAACCCCTCACCCGAAGGAGACTTGACCTGACTCTCAAGTAGTCAAGATGACTCTATAGAGTGGGAAGGGACCCCCAGAAGGAGTTCTGACATGACTCCCGGGCAGTCCGGGTGACTCTATAGAGTTGGGAGGGACCCTGAGGGCATCCAGTCCAATCCCTCTCCCGAAGGAGACTTGAACTGACTAAAGTATTCTAGATGACTCTATAGAGTGGGAAGGGACCCCCAGAAGAAGTCCTGATCTGACTCCTAGACAGTCTGGATGGCTCTAAAGAGTGGGAAGGGTCCTCCCTTCCAGTCCAACCCTTCACCTGAAAGAGATTTGACCTGACTCTCAAGTAGTCTAGATGACTCTCTAGAGTTGGGAGGTACCCCCAGAGGGCATCCAGTCCGACCCCTCTCCCGAAGGAGACTTGACCTGACTCTCAAGTAGTCTGGATGACTCTATAGGGTTGGAAGGGACCTCCAGACATCCAGTCCAACGCATTACTCAAGCCCCTCTCCTAACAGGCTCTCCTGAAGGAGACGTGTCCTCACTCCCAAGCAGTCCATATGACTCTTTAGATTTGGGTGGGGGAGGGGGACGGGGACCCCTGAAGGCAACCAGTCTAACCCCTCTGATGAAGGAAACTTGACCTGACTCCCTAGCAGTCTGGAGGACTCTCTAGAGTTGGGAGGGACCTTCAGAGGGCATTCAGTCCAACTCCTCTTCCGAAGGAGACTTGGCCTGACTCCCAAGCATTCTAGATGACTCTATAGAGTAGGAAGGAACATCCAGAGGGCATGCAGTCCAGCCCCTCTTCCGAAGGAAACTTGACCTGACTCCCAGGCAGTCTAGATGACTCTGTAGTGTGAGGAGGAACCTCCAGAGGGCATCCAGTCCAACTGGTGGCCATCCAGTCTCTGCTGGAGACTTTCCCTGACTTCCATGCACTCTATATAACTCTATATAGTTGGGAGACGCTCCCAGGGGTATCCAGTCCAGCCACCCTCCTGAAGGAGACTTGACTTGACTCCCAAGCAGACTAGATGCTTGTATAGAGTTGTGAGGGACCTCCAGAGGGCATCCAGCCCAACCCCAGGCACCATCCAAGATCCTCTCCTGAAAGCCTCTCCTGAAGGAGACTTGACCAGACTCCCAGCTAGTCTAGATGACTGTATAGAGTTGTGAGGGACTACCAGAGAGCATCCAGTCCAACCCTTCTCCTGAAGAAGACTTGTCCTGACTCCCAAGCAGTCTATATGACTCTCCAGAGTGGGAAGGGACCACCAGAGGGCATCCAGTCCAACCCCTCTGCTGAAGGAGACTTGACCTGATTCCCAAGCAGTCTAGATGACTCTACAGAGCTGGAAGGGACCACTAGAGGGCATCCAGTCCAACCCCTCTCCCGAAGGAAGCCTGACATGACTCTCAAGTAGTCTAGATGACACTTTAGAGTTGGGAGGGACCTCCAGAGGGCATCCAGTCCAACCTCATGCACCACTCGAGCCCCTCTCCTGACAGGCTCTACTGAAGGAGATCTGTCCTCACTCCCAGGCAGTCTAGATGACTTTACAGAGTTGGGGGATGCCCAGAGGGCATCCGGTCTGACCCCTCTCCTGAAGAAAACTTGACCTGACTCCCAGGCAGTCTAGATGACTCTGTAGAATGGGAAGACCTCAGAGGGCATCCAGTCCAACTGGTGGCCATCCAGTCTCTGCTGAAGGAGACTTGACCTGACTCTCAGGCAGTCTGTATGACTCCCCAGAATTGGAAGGGACCTCCAGAGGGCATCCAATCTTACCCCAAGCACCATCCAAGATCCTCTCCTAACAGCATCTCCTGAAGGAGACTTGATGTGACTCCCAGGCAGCGAATATAACTCTATAGAGTTGGAAGGAACACCTGGAGGCATCTGGTCCAACCCCTCTTCTGAAAGAGACTATTTCTGACTCCCAAGCAGCGCCAGGCACCCACCCAGCCCCTCTCCCAACTACAGCCTTTCCTGAAGGAGACTTGACCTCTAGATGACTCTATAGAGTAGGAAGGGACCTCCAGAGGGCATCCAGTCCAACCTCAGGCACCACTTAAGCCCCTCTCCTGACAGTCTGTACTGAACGAGACTTGACCGGACTCCCAGGCAGTCTAGATGACTCTATAGCATTGGAAGGGACTCCCAGAGGACATCCAATCTAACCCCAGGCACCATCCAAGACTCTCTCCTGACAGGCTCACCAAAAGGGGACTTCACCTGACTCCCAGGTGGTTTATATGACTCTATAGAGTTGGAAGGGACCCTCACTGGACATCCAGTCCAACCCCTCTCCTGAAGGAGCCTTGACCTGACTTCCAAGCAGTCCAGATGGACTCTATAGAATAATAAGGGACCTCCAGAATTATTGATTATTGATTATTATTATAATTGGTAAAAATAATAACAACACTATGTGACATAATTTGAACGATTTTTGTTCCTGCTTTGAAAGTATTATTTCCTGTGGAATGGTGCTCCTTCTTCCTTATTTCATCCCCCCAATTATTGATTATTGATTATTAATAATAGTGGTAATAATAATAATAATAGCACTATGTGACATAATTTGAAACGTTTTCTGTCCCTGCTTTGAAAGTATTATTTTCTGTTGAGTGGTGCTCCCGCTACCTTATTCCATCCTTCCAATTATTAATTATTGATTATTATTATTATTAATACTAATGGTAATGATAATAATAACACTATGCGACATAATTTGAAACATTTTCTGTTCCTGCTTTGAAAGTATTATTTCATGCTGAGGGGTGCTCCCGCTACCTTATTTCATCCTCCCAATTATTGATTATTATTATTATTATTATTATTATTATTACTAATGGTAATAATAATAACACTGTGTGACATAATTTGAAACATTTTCTGTTCCTGCTTTGAAAGTATTATTTCATGTTGAGTGGTGCTCCCTCTTCCTTATTTTATCCTTCCAATTATTGATTATTATTATTATTACTTACTAATGGTAATAATAATAACACTATG